CATTTTAAGCTTCTTAGCTTTGAAGTTCTTGTTGAATTCTTACATTTCTTCACTGTCCAAGTCTGATCTGTTAAGAAGCCTTGCAAATTCTTCTAAAATTTCACACCTGAATTGTCTCTTAATATCCTAACATCCATTGGTACCACTGTATTCAAGATCTTTCTTATCTCATGTTTTTAATATATAAATGTTTTGTAACTGTATCTCCATTTTGATTCTCCCAATATCTATTCAACTTGTATCAAATATTGCCTACACATAGTTACAAAGGAAATTGCAAGATATTGGAAATTTTTCTTTCAGTTCTGGAAGTAGATGGTTTCTTTTTACTGCCTTATAAACATTCCAGGCTAATTTAGGACTCCATGCCTTTCTTTACAGTATCTTTTTTATTTTTATTTTTGCTTTGCGTTACCATCCCCACATTTGTCTGCCTTTCTTAATATTCATCACAGTTGTAAATTTCAGTTTAATTTCTAGTTATGACAAAAAGATTTAATATTGATCTTTACCTAAGATTGATACTGCTTTTTTGTTCACTATTCAAATCAACGTTTAATTACATGATGATTCAGAGTATTAGTCATTGGTTGGTATTCCAGATCTTCCCAGTCATTACACCCAAACTATTATATCTATGCTATTACTTTACAGCATGTTCAAGAGGCAGGAGGTCAAACTCTGACCTTTAGCTTCCAGTCTTGAATTAACCTCACTTTTCTCCTTACCTTGTATTGCTCTTCCCTCTTACCCTTTCCATTAGACTATTTATTATGGATGTAGCTAGACAAAGTGGAGAAAAAGAAGAAAGAAATAGAAAATAGAACTTTAACTTACTTCTAACAAGAAAGTATAAATACATATGTGTGTATGTACGTGTGTATGTACATGTGTATGTATATGTATGTGCATGTGTGTGTATATATATGTATACACACATATATGTATGTATGTACATAGATACATACATATATGGTAAAATACTCTGCATAAAATTTCCAAAAGAGTTCCAAACCTGTTTTAGGTTATAGTAAAACAAAACTATGTATTTCTGCTTCTGAAAATCCTGTTGTTCAGCACTCTCTTCATGGAAGATGTGTAGATGTAGTGACTAAAGGCAATAGTGTGCTTATGGGCTTGTCTGGGTTCAAATCTCAGCTCTGAAGATTATGAAATGTGTGACTTAGGCACTTTGTTCTTTGGATTTTGATGTACAAGATGGGATAACATTAATCTGTATGCTACAGAATTGTTGTGAGTTGTAAATGAGATAATTTCTGTGTCAACTCAACTGATAGAAAAATGTTACATTTTGATGACATTTTGTCTGTTCATATGTAGCAAAATGAAATACTTTTTTGATAGAGATGAAAAGACCTTGGTTTTGTTGACTCAGAATGTCATTCAATTCTGGCCACCATTCAAAAGTTTTGACTCTTGAAAATAAAAGCTGGATGAGACATAAAAATTCATTGTAAATAAGAGGTAGTAGTTTACATGCCTTGGTCAAGTCTTTGACTCAGCTTTGACCCTTTGTGGTTTTATTTCCCACTCTGTCCTCCAGCTTATCTTAGGTTGACCCAAGAGTTGACCAGTCCCTTAAGCTCTAGCACGTGACTGTCATGCCATTGTAGGGGATGTGGGAGAGAGATTGTGAATTTCAATTGAATGATATATATATATATATATATATATATATATATATATATATATATATACACACACACACATATATAAATTTATATATAATTTATATATAATTTAACTTGAAAAAATGAATACATAAAGCATCATTTAGTCAAATGAGTTACTGAGACCTATAGAAAAATTCTAGCACTTTTCTTCTTTTTATTTTCAACTGTTCAAACAAACATGTTTTGTAGTTGCAGTAATCATCTATCTACAATGATCTATGACATCTTCAAACTGGCTGCTGACCTCATGTGTAATAATTTCCTACCAGGAAAATTAGTATCTGGTTAAGCATCTGTCCACTGATCCATTAGCAGCACCTTGACCACATAATCATAATTCTAAATTGGAGAAGTTTAGGTGGAGGCTGTTTCAATCAAGAATTCAAAATTTTAGAGAAGCATAATACTTACTAGAAAAGACATCTAGGTCAGATTTCATCACCTCTAATTTTCATGTTCCTATTTTTGTTCTCACCTTGCCTTGTTCCATCAAACCATCATCAAGCAATACTGATTAAGTATTCCCCCTGCCTACAGCTGTGTTAGGATTTTGATGACATAAATTAATTGGTTATGGTTCCAGTCATTTGGAAATTTTCTGAAAGATATTGCTTCTCAGCCTTTTCATGTTTTAATGTTAAATCATGTTAAATGTTAAAACATGGTGAAATCCCATTTAATCCTAGTTTTATTTAGTCTACAGATAAAACTTAGGGAAATTGTCAATAATTCCTTGGCTTTTTTATCAGTCAGTGGTATAAAACTTGGGGACCACCAGGTGCTCACAGGCAGATGCTCTGATGTGTAAAAGTTGATTGAACAATATTTGGATGGTTTTTAGAGAATAAAGTACCAGATTTGGGACCAACCCAATTGCAGAATTAAACAAGATAGATTTATTGGCATCTCACTTTTTCCTGTCTTTAAAAAATATGAAGAGAAAAGAATTGGTGGTGATATAAGTATGGTGCTTAGAACTAATCTAGTAGTAAAATTCCCATTGGTTATTATGTACCAATCATTATCTTTTAAATGCATTATTTCACTTATTCATCATAGAAACTTATGGATTAAATATTATTATTTTCTTCATGCTTTAGATAGTAAATAAAACAGAGATTTTGAATGAATGGCACAACAAGAATTCTAATGCAATTCTTCTTCATCCTGAAACATGAACAGCAGACTCTACGGTGTATTTGAACATCACCCCATTCCAATGGTTGGAGGTAGATAATAGCAATTCACATCCACAAGGTGCTCCACAGTTTACATGGCATGTTCTCCTTTTCTCTCTCCATCATACCTCTCACTATTACTGTAAGAGTGTATTACTATTATCACACTCATTTTACAAATGAAGTTGAGAATCAGTGTACTGAATAAATTGCCTAAGTTTGTAGAGGTGGTAACAGAGAGCCAAGATGAAAGTCAGACCTCTGACTCAGTGTTCTCTTGACCTATTTCTGCTGTGTTTCATTTCTTCTAAATGTAAATATAATGCTATCAAAATCAAACATGTGTGTGCCCGTGTGTACTTACTGTAAATTGAAGTTGCCATGATTTATTTCCATATTGTAAAAATGTCTACCAAAAGACAATCCTGGTAGACTTTGAGCTTTATGGTCCCTGTTTGGTTTGTATCTTAAATGTCCCCCAAAGGCTCATTTTTGGGAAGTGCTAGAAACTTTAGGAGGTGGTGCCTAGTGTAAGGAAATTAAGTCTTTGGGAGTATATCCTTGAAGCAGCTTCTGGGTCCCCAGTTCCTTCCTCTCTTTCTCTTTTATTTCTTGGCCACCATTAAGTGACTATCCTCTTCTACCACATGCTCCCCACCATGATGTACTGATTTGTCACAGACCCAAATGTGACACATTTAAGCTATTCTATGTTAATCATTATTAGTGACCATGGACCGAAACCTGTGAAGTTGTGAACCAAAATAAATATTTCCGCCTTTTAAATTAATTTTCTCAGGTATTTTGTCATCATTACAGAAAGCTAACTAACAGCACATAAAATGCCACACAACAAGATAAAAATGTCTGTAAATTATAAAAATAAATTATTTATATTCACCACGTCTGCCATAGAGAATATCAGAATGTGCCTCTTCGGCTTTGACCTGTCTCCCACAAAAGAGTTAAGAGAAAAATAGAATCAAAAGGAATTTGTTAGATTTACCTAGGCCTAAGATTAAGCTGTGATAATTTTATCCAGAGGTGGTATGGGTATATGATTAATGAAGTACAAGATATAACTTCCCTTCACAGAATTATCTTTGACATTTGCAATTAATTCTATCCTCACTGTTAGATTTTGTTTTTTTATGTTGAAGGTATTATTTCCATGAAACTATAAAAATATTCTCTTTTCTCCACAGAAATCTATATTCTATGTTAATCTTATTAGTTTGTTTTTAGTAACAATAAGAGAGAAGAGTATTTAGAAGTAATGTAGAGGAAGGTAGAAAGAAAAATCCAGAAATTTATGCCATTTTATTTGAAAGTCAGACTTGACTTTGGTGCTGAGCAACCTTGATTCATTCACTTAGTCATTTAACAAATGTCCAGTGAGTTCTTATCATGTGAAAAAATGTTGTCCTAGGTGCTGAGATGCAGGAACCACTAGCTATGAGCCTGTAACCTCATAGCAGTCATAATAGCAGGCAGATGCCCATGCTTATCTGTCTTCACTCTCATAGCTTTCTGAACAGATGTCAAGGTATGAAGTATTTTAGATCAAATGTGTTTTACCTGGAAAGAGGAGCAATGAGAAAATGAGTCCCAAAGAGGAAATACCTTTGGAGATGTTTTATTTTTTCTTCTCTGTATTTGGGCAGGGTGGAGGCTCCAGGATGGAGGTCAACAAACAGTGGTATAATAGATTCAAAATATTAGGGGCAAGGATGCATTTGAGAAAACAAGAGAAGTATAGACATTAAAGTTGACTTGAAATAGATGCTATGTAGGAAGAAAAAGATTAGTCAAAAGCAAGGCTGGATTTGAAGGCAGAGAGTGTTTGGAGTGGAAGACCAGACAGAAGGCATCAAGCAATTCTCTAGGTAGAAAGGACAAGGAGAAAGATGGAGAATTTTCCTCTATTTCCAGCAGTAGTGGTCATATCCATGTGCACTAGAAAGAGAACAGAGGAGTATGAGATACTTAAAAATTGTGCATAGCCTGCAGTTCAAACGACAGTTGATATTATCTTTTCTTATAGTTCTTTTGTTTGTTTGTTTCCAAATATTTTGTGAAGCCTGTGCAGGGCAGGCATATTAAACAGTCTTGGTTGGAATTATTTCAGGTGCTGGTGAGGACCTAAGGCAGGCAATGTGTAAGGATGCCACTTCCTCTTGGGAAATTCTTCCAGGTAACTTAGGTTCCTGTTGTTTCTAACATCCAGGTTGCATGGGTGACAAAATGTCTTCTGCTAAGAAGATTAATTACACAATGGGACTTTCTCTCTTGGGAGCTATTTCCCTGCTTGTAAGTGTTGCCCAAGGAGAGAGGGAAACATGCTATGTGGAATCAGAAGGGAGAGGCATAGATTCTTTGAATTTTGAGAATGAGAATTTATAGGCTTTGGAAAAAGTATATTGTGTAATAAATATAGCTTAGAGCAATAGTTTTCAGAGTCGCCTGGAGGTCTTTGCTATGGTTTGAATGTTCTCTCCCAAATTTATGGTGGAATTTGATTGTCCTTGTGACAGTAATAGAAGGGAATCTCTGAGAGTTGGTTGGGCTGTGAGAATTCCATCCTCATTAATTTACTAATGCCATTGTCATGGGAGTGGGTTCTTCATGGCAGGAGTGAGTTTGTTATAAAAAGGTGAATTCAGCCCCATTTTAAGAGTCTCTCTCTCTCTCTCTCTCTCTCTCTCTCTCTCTCTCTCTCTCCTTCCTTCCTTCCTTCCTTCTTTCCCTCCCTCCCTCCCTTCCTTCCTTCCTTCCTTCTCCTCTTGCCTTCCTCCATGGGATGATGCAGCAAGGAGGTCACAGCTAGATGTCGGTATCATGATATTGAACTTTCCAGCCTCCAGAACTATGAGCCAGGAGATTTCTGCTCATCATAAATTGCTCAGTCTGTGGTATTATCTTTAAGAAGAACAAAATGGACAATTTTCAAGATCATTTAAATGCTTCTACAATGTCAAAACTATTTTTGTAATAATGCTAGCATGCTATTGATCCTTTTCATTCATTTTCTTACCAAATGGAATTTTCCAATTATTTGACAAGATGTTTAATATCACAACAGAAAGAAAACAGAACAGTTAAGGTATTTGAGGAAGTATAAAACTATCCCATTTGCTCAGTATTTTTGTTTTTAATTAATAAAACAGTGATTTCAGTAAAATATACTAACAGATAATGTGTTTATTGCTATTTTAAAATAAATTAATAAATTAAGTGTTTTTTACACTCTCAGTTTTAATTTCTACTATGTTAAACATAGCATATAACACACATACAAAATGTTCTCTGGAGTCCTCAGCAAATTTTAAGAGCACGAAGGGGTTGTGAGACCGCCCCCCCCCAAAAAAAAAAAGAACAGCTGTCTGAAACTATTAGATTAAAGTTCAGATATTTGTGAGAAGTCAAGAGGTAAAAATCATAAATTATTTTCCACTTTTCTTCAAAAATCAATTGAAAACTCATACTCGGAAGCAAAAATGAAATCGTTAGACTCACCAAATTATGGCATGAACTACATCTTATGATGGACGACAGCTAAGTAAATAAAATGTGGATGAAAATGAGAGAGAGGGAATTACAGAAGGCTGTTGCTGGAGACCCAGGCCCAAAACACAGAACCAGGATTCTCCTAAGAGACAGTACACCCTTACATATTTTTCCCCTTGAAGTAGAATTCATATGGTATAGAATTCCCCTTTTAGTATGTTCATAATTCAATGGTTTTTAGTATATTCATAAAGTTGTGCTACCATCACTGCTACCTAATTCTAGAATATTTTTGGTACCAAAAAGAAACCCATACCCCTCAGCTGTCACTCCTACCTCCCTACTGTCATTCATCCACTTTCTGCCTAGGGATTTGCCTGTTCTTGACATTTTATAAAAATTCAATCATATAATATGTGGTCCTTTATGTCAGGACTATTTCTCTTAGCATGTTTTCAGAATCCATCCATGTTGTAGTATTGTATCAGTTTTTAATTTTTATGATATGATAAATTCAAATGATATTCTGTCATAGAGATATAAACCACATTTGTTAATTCTTTCTTCAGGGAGTGGACATTTGAGTTGTTTTTACTGTTTATCTATTATGAATAATGATGCTAGGTATACAAATTTTTGCATGGATGTGTTTTTGATTCTTTCTCATATACATCTAGCAGCAGAATTTCCGGATTGTATGGTAACTCTATATTTGATTTTTTTTGTGGCGGAGAACTGCCAACCTGTTTTCCAAAGTACATATGTCATTTTACATCCCCCCAAGGCAGCATCTCATTATGGTCTTGATTTTCCTTTTTCTCTTTTCATGTGGTATTGGTCATGGGTATTTGTCTTTTCTGGAGAAGGGCCTATTCAAATCCTTTGCTCATTTTAAAATTTGTGGGTTTTTTAAATTGTTGGCTGTATGTGTTGTTTATACATTTTCAGATAATAGATAATATTTAAGTATCAGATATATTATTTGCAAATAGTTTCTCCCATTCTGTGGGTTGTCTTTTCATTTTTTTTTTAATTTTTATTGTTGGTTGTTGTCTTTTCATTTTTTTGATAGTGACCTTCGAATCACAAAGGTTTTAATTTTCACAAAGTTCAATGTATCAGCTTTCTTCTATTGCTTATAATTTTGGTGCTTTATCTAAAAAAATCATTGTCTCATCCAAGATCATAACGATTTATGATTCTATCCTCTTCTGATATTTGTATAATTTCATTTATACACTTTTAGATCTTTGTTTCATTTTGAGTCACATCTGTATACAGCATGACGTAGAGTCCCAGTTGCACTATTTTTGCACGTGAATATTCATTATTCATAGCAACACTTGTTGAAAAGACTGTACGTTTGTCTATGAATTATCTCAGCACCTTTGTCAAGAGTCAATTTCACAGTCATGTAAAGGCTGTTGGTTTGTTTGTTCCTGGACTCCCAATTCTACTGTTGTCTCGTAATGGGTCTTGAAATCAGGAACTGTTAATCTTCTAGTTTTATTCAAATTTTTCAAGATTGTTTTGGTTATTCTGAGTCCCTTGCATTTTAATATACATTTTAGGATCTGCTTATCCATTTTCACAATAAGTATGGTTGAAATTTTAATAGGGATTGCATTAAATTCCTACTGGAGGCTATTGCTATCTTTTAAATCTTGTGATTTTATGATATATTATTTTGATTCATTTTCTACACTAAAGCAATCTAGCATTTTGGGACAAATTTTATATGGTCATGGTTTACAGTTCTGTGTTTGTGGGTTCAATTTGTTGGGATTTTGTCATAGAATTGTAAACCCACAGTGTTAGCATGGGTGTAAGAAAATTTGTATATACTAATGAGGCTACAAGAACAGTTTTTGCTGATATCAACGTGGCAATATTCATACAAATTACAAGTCAAAATACATTTTAGGTCTAAGAATTTAGTCAATAAATATATATGCACATGTGTGAATAATATACCTACAAAGTTATTCAGTACAACACTGTTTATAATAACAGAAGAATAAAAACAACTTTTGTGTCTGTCTATAGGAGACTGAATAAATTACAATAAAAAAGAATGCCACATACAACTATGAATGGAAAAGTAAGAACAAAGAAAGAAAGAGAGAGAAAAAGAGAAGCTATTTATAGGTCAATATAGGATGATCTCCAAGATATATTAAAATACAGCACAAAATGAAAAATCACAATAGGTTATATAGGGTACAATACCATTTGCATAAATAGGAAAAATAAGAAATATTTTTATTGTTTGTTATGTGTGGGAAGATACAGAGGTCATTCATTATCTATTGAGAATGGACTAAAATTGGGGCTCAGAAGTCTACACCCTTTGTTGCTTAAAATTTGAAGATTATTTATGTATTAGAGACTCAAAAAATAAACATAAAAAATTATAACCGATTACAATGGCCACCAAAATAAAAATGAAAGAGAAAAGTAAAATCACTAAAGAAACAAAGTGTATTTTGGAATCAAATAAAAGAAAAGACACAACATAAACACAAAATGAAGACAGCAGACATTTGATAAAATGAAAAAAAAATTAAGTAGAAAACAAGCTTCAAAGAATTAGTTTGAAAATGTGAAGAACTATAAAGCATCAGCAGGTATAAACCTAATGTAAAAAGACAAAATTTCCACCAATACCTTTAAAGAAATTTTTTTTTGTAATAATGGAAGATAGTCTAACAGTTGAGAGTAGATCATGTCCCCAGAAAAACTGGCACAGAATGATCAACCGCAAGCCTTTTGGGAGAAACTTGTTGGCTATAACCATATCAGAACACTGTTGTGAGTCTCTAGGCAGAGGGGGAAAAAGAGAATCTGATGTTCAAGAAGAAAAAGAGTGAGTTTGGATTTATATTTCTCTAGAACCACATCCAATGTTAGCAACTGTAGAACAAAATCTACAAAGTTTTAAAAGAAAAGAACATCATCATATTTTATGTCCAGCTATACCACTGTGCAATAATAAAAACCAAGGAAAATATTTTCAAACATATTAGAAATCAAGAAATATTGTTTCCATAAACATTCTTGTAAAAACTACCAGAGGCAGACTTTAGCCAACCAAAATATGAATTTAAAAGTCAAGATAAATGGAGTCATAGTCAGGAGTGAGTCTCTTTAAACATTAAAATAATCATGAAAAACCATGGGAATTATACTTAGGGAATCAAATATGAAAATCTTACACCATGAAATTCTAGAAAGGTTATAACTAATAAAAGCAGAGGGATGAGAAAATGTAGGAAGTAGCATATGGAGAAAAAACTTTTAAAAGAGGTCATTTTATAATTTTTTTAAAGGTGGACTCTGTAAATAAAATATGGCAAATTTGGTGAAGGAAAAAAAAGCCTGGGACAGAAATTGTTCTAATATTAGCACATCGGGTAAGGTTCTCTCTCTCTTTTATGCAGAGTTCAAAAGATTTTATCTGTGGATCTGTAATAATTTCTATAAGATCTGCCTATAAGAAATCCAGTGACCAGGGCTACTGCCTACATCAGAGACCTAATGAGAGGCTTCAACCAAACAGAGTTTTATCTTTTGCAAAGAGTTCAGGGTTAGCATGATACATTTGTCAAGATTCCTAGATAGAAACAGCAGAATCCACTGTACCTGGTTATACAAGAAATATGGCACATAAAATCACCGGCAAGAATGGAATTAAGTTCCCAAGAGCAACTCCTAAAACAACATCCCAAGGTTGACTGGGAGCGGGGTGGCTGCCATTGTTCCAAGACTGCTGTGTGTCCTATTCAGCTACCATTTGTAACCATGGTGAGGATGCACTTCTGGCTCAGATCTTGGGTATTAATTGGTTCAGGATGTTGATGTGCCCCTCCACTCCTGGCAATCCTAGATGAGATGCCCAGCTATAACTCAGAAAACCCCATGATTCTAACCCTCAGGGGTTGCTTCTTACTTTTCATAACCAACACGATGGATCACATTTCCATGGGAAATCTTACTAATTTCTATATTCTGACCATTGCAGACTCTCCCTCATACTTGATGATCCCTCTCCATATAGGCCTCCTTCTCACACCATCTTCCTTTTCCATTATTTTTATCAACCACTACTCCAAGATGTAGGGTATAGAACCATCTTTTCTGAAAGCTTGAAGATAGTAGATGGTAATTATAACACAGAGCAGTTGATAATTTACCACTGTTACGAATCTTTTGGTGTAGAAAAAAAATATTAATAAAGGCTTGTGGTTAGTGAGGCTATTGAATCAATATAGCGGAAGCTATTTTCAAAATCACTGTCAGACACTAGTGTAATGGAATGCATTGAGCATCTCACATCACAGGGACTTTCTCACTGGTCACATCCCCCCACTGGATGCCAGCTTCATTTGTTGCTGGTACTCTTCTCTTTCTGGAGCCCCTTCTTACATTTGTGAGGATTATATGCTCCTTATTTTCTCAGTGTTCTGCAAACATGGATTTAGTTTTCTCAACTTGATTATCTTATTGTCTTAAAAATCTCCTTCCCAGATTGTGTCTTGGGGAGGGCATTTATTTTTATCACTGAAATAGTTTTAATAGTTTCACTGAATTATTTTTAACACAAACCAAACAACAACAACATCAAAAA